TCCTTATGCATTTGCTTATGCTTATATATAGACCAATCAATTTCCTTATGCTTATGCGTTATGCTTTATGTAAAAGCTTGTGCTCTCGGCTTAAAAGTTTTGTCTATTGTCTATGCTATGTCACATATACTATATACTATATATTCACTGAAAGTGTAGTTTCTGAATGCACCCCATGTTACTGTACAATTATATGTTTGTTTTGCATATATGTATATATTTTATGTGATTTTATTGATGCGATAACGTAAAATACACATTATGGAAAGTTATATGTCGGAAAAAAGCATCAATAATGATTTTCTTTCGCAATCATATTTACAAGGTGTCCAAAAGTAAATTAATACGATTATAACCGTATGTATTATCTAATATTTATATCTAATTATTTATAAAAAGCATTGTTATCTATGCAGGATAACGGGAACTAACAATTTTGATCCTAATCTTGAAATTCCAAAAGAAATTTTGGAAAACAACTGGGATGTTCGGGAAAAAACCTGGAATCATTTGTTCGATAAATATTCAGAAAAGGTATTTATTATTATTAATACCTTTATCAAATTATTTTGATTTGAGAATCTTTATCATGTGTAATACTTTATGTATGGATGTTATGTTTTACATCATATTTTAGCCATCCGATGATACACAAGTAAATATTATTACTGGCGAGCCTGAGGAAGAGAGCAGTGAAGAGGAACACAGTTGTGGACAGCGAATACGCATGCATAAATCGGCATCTTTGATACAATATTGGATAAATACTGGTAATCCACCCTATAAGACATTTCTAAATGAAAAGGAAGATATCGGATCGTCTTTAAGTGAGGAAGAAAATATTTCTTTAAGTGAGGAAGAAAGTATTTCTTTAAAGCAAACTTCATCTTTATTCGATAAAAATAATGAACAAGAATGTAGGAACCATTCATCTTCTAGTTCTGTAGACACTGCAGCTTATATCTTATCAAATGCAAATATTACAAAAAAGATTGATACAATGGCTATTATAAAAGATGCAAAATGTCCTAACATTATTTCTTCAAAAAATATGAAAGATGTAAAAACTATATCTAATGATAAGACTGAGTATGTGAGGATTGCAAGGAGTGATCAATGTGATTACAGTGATGATAATGTTAACACTAATCTTCCAAATTCTGAAATTTTTATCGAACATGTATCAAAAGTGCATACTCAACCAAGCACAATAATATCTAATGACACATTGCAGCCTAATATCTTACAATATTCATCTCATGAAAAAATAGATAAGATAAATACATCAAAGTTGAGTCCAAAGCAATTAGATGTACGAAATATACATGATATTGCATCTATTTTTCAACAATTTGATAAGACATCACAACGATTAGCTGGAAATGATAAGGAAAATATCACTTTAGCTCAAATTGAAATGAACAGAGATACTTCCGATGTAAAACAGGTATCAGCAAGCACTATCATGACAGAAATGAGTAAGAATAATACAACTATGATATCACAACGTAAATTATATACAGGTAGGAACTCTCCTATAGATTTAACACTAATCAATAGGCGTAACACAAATAGACTATCTCAGACAAACCATAGTTTACATCCTGCTTTAGATACTGATTGTACGATTACAAGAAAAATTAAATTTTCAAGTTGTAAAAACAAAAACAAACATAGATCTCTTCTTGATAAAAAGGGTCTTGATTTTAAAAAAAGAAGAAGTGAAAGAAAATGTTCTAAGTTTATTAAAAATTATAGAGATAGTTATAATTCCACTAGCAGCTTTTCCCAAAATTTATCAAACTCCTACAATAATTCAGATACGCAAGATAATAGTCCATTTTATAAAAGAAAAATGATACAGGAGAATAATGATACAAATAGTTTTATAAAAGACGAAATATATAAACAAGATTTAGCTTCCCTTAATCTAAACCCAGTGGTTCTTTTGGAACGAATTACATCTTCATTTAAACATAAACCAAGTTTTGTCAAGAAAAATCACAATATGCAAGAAAATAGTGTACATAACAAACATTTTGTTAAAACGTCCAAAAAGTGTAATAGTAAAAATGAAGATCTTGAATCAAGATCAAGTAACTCAAGTACCATTCTTATTTGCGAATGTGGAAAAGATGTATCACAAAAAGAGGAATCGAGTGACTCTTCATTTGAGTTAAGATTAAGTGTTGATGATAATAACCCTGTTAAGGATATAGAAAAGAAGGCTGATAAATTATCAAGTTCAAAAGATATCAATACGATTCAGACTAAAGAACTACATATATTAGAAAGCTTACCACTATTGCCAAACAAAAATATAAATACAACGGTAACATCACAAGTTTTAAATAAAGATGACGATATTAAACAGAAAAAAGTGCTTGATAAATCTCAAATGCATTTATATGGAACAAATGAGATAGGTAGCTTAAATCTTAAAGAAATTAAAATATCACTATCAAGGACAAACGAAAATTGTATAGATTCAATAAAGTCACAAATTTTGAATAAAAATGATGCTATTCAGCAAAAAGAAGTATTGAGAGAATCAGAAGCGTGTTTTTCTAATTCATATAAAACAAACAATAAAGATAACATAAAACTTCGAGAAGTTAAAGTTGTATTGGAACAATTGCCAACAAATATAGGTCTTAAAAAAAGCATTACAGATGTAAATCTTTATTCTGATAAAAAGGAAATTTCGCAAAATACAAGTCTACGTAATAATAAAATAGAATCTCCAATTGATAATAATTCATTAAAAATGTGTATTAAATCTAAGAAAAATGACAAATTAAGTGACACATCTGACATTGTCTCAGAGCATGAGAATCAAGTTTCTGACAAAGTAAAATCAAATTCTGCTAATTATAAATGTTCGATTTTAAGTTTTACATCTTCAGATGAAGATGATTTTGTTAAATTCTTGCGAAAATCCCCAAAAAGATTAAAAAGAAGTTCTAAGCCAATCGATAGCAAAATATTTAATGTAACAAGCACTGTTAATAATAGAAATTTAAATACAGTAATTTTTTCTTCAAAAAAGGTTACACCAGAGAAAATATATAATAGTATTGTTGAAAATTTAATAGAGCGAGACAAAACTGTTTCAAGTGTTATCGTAAATAATAGTAGGCATTCAGATACAGTGATAAATAGAAATGAAATAGATTGTAAGAATGATACCAATATTATATTCCAAACTAAGACAGATTACACAGATTACACAGATTCCTTACATTCTCAAGAAGGTAATAGTCATACTACATTTCGTAAAGCAATAAAAAGTTCTTCCATGCAAAGTAGGTCGCGATATTCCAATCACATTAATAAAGAAAGACTTTTTAAAGGTTCTACTAGGAATAGATACACAATAGATTTTTCAAGTTCATCAAATTCTTCCATAGAAGAATCACAAAGTGATATCACAAAGCGATCATATAATATGTTATTGAGGTCACCATCTAATAAAAAAACTCAAGTAAGCAAACAGTTGGCTAATGAAGAATTTAATGATATTAGTTTGAGGAGTAATATTAATAATACAAAGAAAATAATAAATCTCTTTCTTTTATAAATGATAAACAAGATACATCTGTAGAAAATGAAACATTTGTAAGTACTTCTTTTGGAAAAAATAATCTTAGTAATTTCTCAGCAAATAAACAAATCCCTGACAAATCTAAGAATTCAGTGGCTATGCAGGAAAATGGTAGTGCTACGGTAAGAAAATTGTTAAGATTTCAAACTAAAAGTTATTACGATTCTGATTCGAGCATGTCTTCATAATATTCTCCAAAAAATATTTGCTGTATATTTGTACAAAATAAATAAATGTAATAAAGAATATGATTAATACATAAATGTATCAAATGTAAATTAAAACTAGCATGTAGCATACATAAAGAAAAAATTTTAAATATTAACTTAATATCGTAAATTATTATGTTTAGCAATTATATTAATACAACTAATTTCAAAAGGTTAAAGAGAATTAAAAGTTAGAGTAAAATCTATAATATTTTCATTTTTTGTAACTCCATAATTTTATCTTTATAAATTTTATGCATATAAATATATTATTTATTATAATTTAATAGAAAATAGAATTGATAAATGTTTTCATCAATGTATTCTTTATCTCGTTGCTATACCAAACACATGTTGTCTAGAGAGAGTTAAATAAATTGGATGGGTAACATATCCTTCCAGATCTAAGAATGTCCATGATGTTTTTTCAAAACCTGCGTTTTCTATCTCCACAGTACAATCAGCATCTAAGCGACAATCGCCAAATAAAGAAGGCCATATGCCAGTTTGCGTCAACGCTATTTGCAACCATCGTATGAAAGTGCTTTCTTTTTCTGGAACGTGTTCCACGAAAATATATTTTCCACCCTAAAAATTCATAATAAAAAAAAATGTATATACATTGACGTATTACAATTTATTTATATAAGAGAATTAAACATATAAATAACAACATACAAAATGAGAAAAAGAGATAAGAAATTAATTTATTTCCCTTAAATAATCACAATTTGGCAAATTATTTTATTTAACATTTTATTTACAATGTAATTTTATAAAGCAATATTTTGATGTAAAAGAGTTTATCAAAGTTTCTTACCGGAGCTAATACTCTGCGAATTTCTTGCAGAGTAGATTGCATTGATTTTACGCAACACAATGATCTAGTTGTCACCACTACATCCACACATCCTGTTGGTACTTCCTTCAAGGAACTCCCATCGCCTGTTATTAACCGTTCAATAATCACATGAGAAAATTCACATGAACGACTCCCTTTGACTAGATATTCGCCCAGCTTAACGTTCCAATCGACACCAATAAGATGAGTACCCTCTGGATAAAATTGTATGTTTTCACCTAATAAAATTTATTTATATATTATAAATATTTAAAAAATTTTGCATAATTGTACAGTTATTGTGCTTTGAAGTGTTATAGAATTAATTGATTATTATTTATCCATATTTTGAAATAAAAGCATTTGCAAAAATAAAGGAAACGAGAAAACATTCATCGAGTTTAGAATTGCAGAAAAAATAACTTATTTATAGAATAAAGATCTACTTGTTACAAAATATAGATAGTTTTCTAAAAAAGAATGAAAACAAATAAGATAAAATTTGAAAATAGAAGCTTTCTATAATTAGTTATTTAGGCAATAATATTAATTTTATATCTCAAATGCGTCATGTAAAATTATAAGGGGGTATTAATGCAAATCCGATCTATACCTGTTTTAATGCCAATTTCGAGGATGCGAATGCAACCCATAGATCGCAACATTTCATCATTGGAGATAACACATTGCAGCGCTTTAAATAAGTGTTCTTTATACGGACTGGCCAGTTCGGCGTATTCCATCTCAAGTCCCAGAAGATGAGCTCTGTATATGTTCTTTCGCCATATAGGCCATTTTTGTATTATCCAGATCATGATGCAAAAAATAATCATTGTAATCACGCCATAGCTTGTCAGTATGTCACGTATCCATAAGTCATAGTTACTCATTTTTGAAACAAAGTAATGTTCCCAAGCAGCAACCACTGTAAATTGAGCCAATTATTAAAGTACATACGATAGATTATATTATATTTACAATATTACATGTACTAGTACGAAAAAGATAGGTATAGTTTTTTAAAACATCAATGACTAATCCATTTTTTCACGTAAAAACGATGACTATATCTTATTATAAGTATACTTGGTTAATGATGTATAATCCGAGTTAAAAATTAATTATGACAAAATTAATTAAACTATACATACATTTTTACACTTAACTTTATATTTATGACTAATAATATTATATATAGTTTTTATATTTAGTACTTATTGAGAATTTTAATTAATTTATGCTAAGATTATATACGACAACCATTCTGATCACGACTTCTTTACGTAAGAGCACTACTAGTCCGACTGTTTGCTTAACAGCATTGAACAGTATAAATATATATCAAATCATTCGTGATTAACGACGGAGCTATGTTTTCAAGAGCCTGAACTTCTAACTCTTGGAATTTTATTTTTAATAATGATTGTATTCAGGAATATATAAAGTAAAAATGTATAGCGAATATTTTATTATTTACTTACTATTAATGAAATTGACATCAAAGAAATACATCATAAATTATATCTAAAAAAAAATGGACATACAAATAGATATATTTAAATTTAATTTAATTAACATAATGATTCTTTAGTGAAATATCATAAGTTTTAAAATTGAAAGGATTAAAAACATCACAAAAGCTATATGCATTTGGTCTATGTGTTTTTTGGCACTCCGTGGCATTGAAATTTAAACTTCAATAATTTATCATATCCGCCACTGCTCATGATAAGATAAAGATTAAAACTTTATTCTTCTTGGACATATTTTTTATTTGTGCTAATGTGCAACAGATCAGCACTTTTCTTTATGAAAAAAAACTTATCTTATTATTGAATTTATGTATTATTTTATTAAAAGCTAATAATTATTGCAATCCAACAATTATTCTTTACAACAATAGTAGATATTTGTGCATATAATTGGAAATTTCATTGAAATAACAATGAAATTAATGATTTTCTGTGGAATCGGCGATTCGTGAGTCGCTCTCTTTCAGTGAGTTTGAATAAAAAGAAGTTGATTTCCGATAGTGCTTTAAAGCAGACCATACTGTCTGCGAGGTGGTTCACTCTAGGCACGACAGCATAAAAAAGAAAATAAGTAATCGGGCAGAGTCGAAGGAGCACCGAAACAATGCTTTTGCAGTTTTCGAAACGTGAAAAAGAGCGTGCCTGCTACAGAGAGGGGTGCCACTGATGGAGAGACAGGGAGAGAAAAATGCTCCATGAAAGCGAAAATATATCGGTGCTGGGGAGCACCTCTTTGTCCTACCTTGTTTCAAGAGTGACCACAAACAAAAAGCGCGATCAAGCAATTTTGAACCGCTTGGCCGAATGCGTGTACTCCGTTCTGCGGTGCGCGTACGCGCGCAGATTCCATTGAGGCGCATTTTGCGAGTTCGTGGAGAGGCGTTTTGTTTGCGATATTGGGGCGGAGAGAAGGCCGGCCGTTTTCACGGTGGTTCGTTGATTCGAGAGAATTACGAATGGAATAAAACACATCCCGCCTGATGGTTGTTTCTACCCCACTGTAAATGCAGTAATCGTATTAGAGTTATTAGAGACAATACAGTTCACAGACTATCATTTTCCTTCTTTCTAAATTTTAAGCAAATGGATTTTATTAGTTATTGTATATAATTATAATTGTGTTATTACATATATACATATTTAAAGAATGAAAACACAATTACACTCACCAATCAGAATATTGCAGTTTGTTGAATTCATTATAAGTTGTTTATCGTTAGATTGCTCTGTAACAGTTCCACATTTGTCAAGGAATTGATGTATATTGGAAAGCAATTTACATCACAAATCTGTTTTGCCACATCTCTTGATATTTGAATAGATAAAAACACCTAAAATATTTTATTTTATATATATTTTTTAACTTTTTAAACATTTATAAAGTATTTGTAGTTTTATTTTGTATTCTATTATTATAAAGATATTAGTACACCTAATTGTAGATGCAAATTAAAAATTTTTTAATTATTCTTGACTACTGCTTTTAAAGTCCTTTATTGTCTATATTACAATACCTGTATTAGGTCATTTGTACTATTTGATTTTTGTTTTTTTCCTGTGCTTCCAAGTTATGATCATACTTTAGATTATTTTTGAATTCTATTTTTTTTAATGTGATGTAAATTGTGAAATTTTTGTTCCATTTCTTTCATTGACCATACTATAACATTGCATAAATCCCATTTTCCTGCAGTTATGGCAATATGAGCAGTACCAAATCTTGAGTATTTTCAATTATGTTAGGATATATTGTGCAGCAACTTCTCTCATTTTTCTCGAATTTTATATTTGCCTAAAATATTTTGTAAAATATCATTATGTAGTATAAATATTTTTTTTCTGACATTATATAGCTTAAATTTAAGGTTAATAATATAAATGAAAAATTACCATTTTTTCAGATCAGTGTTTGTAATACGAGTAGAAAAAAAAAGAAATAATTACTTTTGCCATCCAGATAATCTTAAAGCATGTTCAAACATCATGATTAATTCATATATATATATATTCTATAATCTATTAAAGAATTACTATAATTTCTCCATAACCTATTAAAGAATTACTGTGATTACTTCACATCTTATCGATATCTTGAAAATTTCGATATTGCGATTTTCGATATTGCGATTCTCGAAGCATAGATTTCGACTAATGGCTAAGCTTATAACATTACGTTGTATTTAAAGTTTTTGTGCCGTTAGTATTTCTCGGGAGCAGTGATGCGATATTTCCTACGGGATTTTACGTAAGTCTTTTAGAAATTATCGTAATCTTTTGTAAAATGTTACTCTGAATGCATGCGTGTAATGTCGAACGGATCGGTGAATATGTAAAGTGATAATTATTTGCTGTATGTACAAGGATACTTTGCAGTAAAGTATGGTTATGTGTCGTTTGCGTTTCGTTTACGGCGGGATAGCAAATTTACGATATACATCCGTGATTTTCGAAAGTCAAGTGCGTCGGTTGATTTTCAATAGCGTATTTATAAAGCGAATTTTCAGTATTCGTTGATACTTTGTTTGCGTTTTGTTTATCGCGGCATGGAAAATTTGTGATTACTTCACATTTTATCGATATCTTGAAAATTTCGATATTGCGATTCTCGAAGCATAGATTTTGACTAATGGCTAAGTTTATAACATTACGTTGCATTTACAGTTTTTGTGCCGTTAGTATTTCTCGGGAGCAGTGATGCGATATTTCCTGCGGGATTTTACGACGGAAATTCGTAAGTCTTTTGTAAAATGTTACTCTGAATGCACGCGTGTAATGTCGAACGAACCGGTGAATATGTAAAGTAATAATTATTTGCTGTATATGCAAGGATACTTTGTGATGTAAAGTGTGGTTATATGTCGTTTGCATTTCGTTTATAGCGGGATAGCAAATTTACGATATACATTTGTGATTTTCAAAAGTCAAGTGCGTCGGTTGATTTTCGATAGCGTATAAAGCGGATTTTCGGTATTCAATGATTCTTTGTTTGCGTTTTGTTTATCGCGGCATGGAAAATTGCGATATAAGCACATCCGTGATTTTCGAAAGTCAAGTGCGTCGGTTGATTAACAATAGCGTACAATGTTGATTCATCGATTCTTCAACGAAGTGAATGCGAAACAGTTTATGGCAGAATCTGTCGCAGCCACTGGAGCAGACTGCACAATGCTCGAACTGGTGAGTACAATTATTTGTTCATTATTTGAATATATATTTAATTGTGATAATACACACAATTTGTTATGACACAAGATAGACAAGTGTCCTAAAGGCTTAAAATGCAAATATATTTTATTTTTTATATCCAAAAAAACGCGGAAGCTTTTGAGAATACTTTCAATTTAATATAGTCGCAATGGGTGACATGCAAAATTTATTGCACAATTTTCGACGATAACTCCACACGATTTTGTGTGCTTTTTAAAAATATTTTTTGTTATTGTGTGAGAAAACTCGCGTTAGAAAAATAATCAATATATCGCGCGATACAAAATATCGCGCAATTGTAATGAGCATGCAATAATATCGCGTAATAATACAAATATATGAATTATCTCGCGCGTAGATATTAGAACAAATTGAAATAGCCGATGCTATACGAAAAGCGACATATGTTAGCCGCATGCGTTACTAATAAGTTGGCGTCGCGTGTCAAAGGGACGTCACATGCGACGCGCGCGTTTTCCTCCCTTTCGCCGCGGTCCTCGCGCAATTAGCCGGGCTAAATGCCGCCACACTTTACGTAATCGCTCGCCTCCTGCTCACTGCTTATCTTTTCTGGTATAAAACTAAGCAGAAAAAAAGAATGGAGTGAGTCCGCTGCTAACATCTGCTCCCTATGCTTTGCTGTTAAACGAAACGGCTAAACGGCTGAAAACGTACGGTAAATTGAACGAATATGTACATTGATTTAGATTTTGATAGGACTGTGCAGCATAAATATTTAGATATTGCATTAGAAATCTGAGATATTTAAATATTTTGCAACATTAAAATTTCTAGATATTTATTAATATTGCAATTACTTTTTTATTATATAAAAATACATGACATAGAAAATATTATAAATAAATTTTATAGTTAGAACAACATAATTGTCATTAAAAAATTTAGATGGAAAAATTTACGTATTTTAAATAATTAATGGAGGCATTAATGACATTACTTTGATAACATGTCATATGGCACTTCATACTATTAGTCTGAAACACCTTTATATTTTACATTATTTTTTAAATCTATTCTCTTAATTAGTTTCTTAATTAATGATATTAAAGTAAAACAAATTAGATAGACTTACCGGCACGATGCGCAGCAGCGGAGTTGCTCACAAGGTAATCTGTAACATACAAAATACATCAAAATTTTAGCAGTGTTTAAAATAATTATTTGAAAAAGGATTATTACGTACATTAAAGTTTTACTCTTCTTTTATGCAAATATCTAATAGAAGAATTACATATTTATATCTAATAACTATAAATATTAAAACTTGCAAATTTTATACTGAATATTTCAAAGTTTCTGTGTGTAATATTTTACTTTCAATATTTTACAAATAATAAATAATAAAGGATTACTATAAAATTGGCATCCAAAGCCCTTCCGAGCCTCCTTTTTTTTTCAATTCTCTTTGCAGTCCTTCAAGGTACTTATACGTGTTTGCAATTCGCGAATTTGTAAATCGCAGGATGTTTTAAATGACACTTTCGACGTGTATTTTGTCGTTTGGATATCATCGCTTCAATATCATTGCATGGATTACACGTTCGACACTTGATTGCGTCTTTAAAATGTAACGATGGAAAAGGATAAGGCTGCAAACCGCGGAAAGAAATATAAAGATACTCTTGAAGAAGATAATACGTTAATACGAAACGCGATCTATCTCGTATACAAGTGTCGCCGTGCGAATGATAAAGGAGCAGTAAATACATGATAAAATCGCGCCGATTTTGATTTAGAAGAATGCGGACAAAGTAAAAAAATATATACGTGGCGATATATAGAACGTGTAAGAGAGAGAAGAGATATATGGAGCAGGCTGAACACAACAAGGTAAAGAACCTCACCAAACGCTATGAGTTGGTCTCTCAAAATTCTTAATATTAGAGAATTTATCGAACATTTAAACTCGATTTCAACTTTATTTCGATAAATGTTCGATATATTTATCATCGAATAATGTTAAGAGTTCGAGTCGCGGCGTTTGGTGGGGTTGTTTACATTTTCACGCTTAGCCTGCGCGCTTCATATTCCCCCTCTCTTTCTCACATACCTCTTCTGTGTACTCGCACGTATATTATTGTTTTTTCCCCGCATTCTTCCAAATCGGAATCGGCACAACTTTATCCTTGATGTTCCTTCATCATTTGCACGACGGCACTTGTACAGGGTAGATCACATTCCGTATCGGCGTTTTATTTTTTTCAAAAATATCCTTATACTGCTTTCCGTAGTTTTTAACCTTATCTTTTTCCTTTGTTATTTATTACAGACATTATTCGAATGCCGAACGTATAATCCGTGCGATGATGGAGTTTCACTTTGTCCGAACGACAAAGTACGCGTCGGGAATGCCGTTTAACACATCGTGCGATTTACTTACGTCGCGAACGCATGTGAATGCTTGAAGACAACAATGAGGACTGAGAGGAGGAGGAGGCTCAGGAACAGCATCGGGCGCCGGTGGAGCAACTTTAGGGTAAGTAATAATTTATTAATTATCTATTATTTGTAAAATATTGGACATAAAATATTATGTAATGTAACGCACATAAAAATTTTGAAATATATTTAATAAAAGATTTACAATTTTTAATATTTATAGTTATTAGATATTTGCATAAAAAAAGATGAATAAAAGTTTAATGTGCGTAATAATTATATCTTAAATAATTGTTTTCAACTCTGTTATAAATTACTGCTGCGCATCGTGCCGGTAAGTCAATTTGTTTTATTGTAATATCATTAAGAGACTAGGTTGAAAAATAATGTAAAATATACAAGGACTCAAGATGAATCATTTCACCCGTTAATAGTAGATTTCTAAAGTTTCTTATATGGAAACACACGAAAAAGAACACTTTTGCTAAAAGATCTAAAAATTGTACTAGATATAAATGGTATCATCAAAACTTTTTGTTGCGATATGAAAAAGATCGAATGTTCTATTGATTAATTTTGATTATCCAACAAAATTTATTTTCAGATTTGTATTTGGCATAATTTTTAGATCTTTCAGCAAAAGATCTAAAAATTGTGTCCTTTCCGTGTAAGGAAAGTGTATAAAAATCAATATGCGACGTGCCTGAGTGTGTGAATTTTTGACAATCAAAACGGTCAACTTTCAACATTTTTCCATTTAAAAACTATTGCAGTCTTAACATTTTAATGTATAGTCTCCAAATGACTTTAGGAATCTGCTATTAATGAATGATATGATTGGTCTGGAACATCCTGTATAATTTTATTTTAATATTTTAATATCTGAAAAAGTAAAATAGAAAATGAATGAAAAAGTGTAGTTGGTCAACTTGTTGACACGTGCATATTGAAGTATATTTTTATCTATTGTTTTACAAAAATTTTTGCTTTCGCAAAAATGATTTCTTTCATACGAAACAGTAGAAAGAAATAACAAAAAAGAACGCCCAAAAGATGAATATTATATTCGTATCAATTGCAATGATAAAGTTAACGTAATTTTAATACAACACATGTTCTTTAAATTGTTTATGATTTATTGCAATTCTATTCGTTGTCAAGTAATGCAGATAAAGATATTTGATGTTGCTACTACAAATAAAAAAATCAAAATTAAAAAATTTTTTCTCTACAAAGCTGCAATTTTTGATTTAAAAAGAAAAATGATATAATATTACGTGTTTTTTATTTTGAGTTATTCTTTTTTTCTTTTTTGAGATGTACTTAGAAAAGGAAGACTTTTTTTCTTCAGTTTTTTTATCGCTTGTTATTCCGTCTATAGTTCAAATAATGCCTAGAAACGCGTCAGCAAGTTGAGTTACACACATATAT